GAAATCGTTGAGTTTTAATAAACGTTTTTGAAAACGATTTCCAGGTCAGAATTCCATGAATCAAGCAGACCTCGGGAGAGTTAAGTAAGGATGTTAAAGGGGGAGCACTAGCAGAACAATAGAAAAGCAAACAAAGCCAGAAAAGACCCTGGGTGAAAAAGTTTTTTTAATCCGTACCATTAAACTAATCAGGGTGTGTGAATAATTTGGCGAACACTTTTATTATTCCGTCCCATTATACTAATTAGGATGCAACATTAATAGTGATGCACGCATTACTGATAGCTTCATTTAGCCTCCACAGGTTTCTCAAGTCTCGTGAAACTGAAGTGCTACGTTGGCAGCGGATTGCACCGTCGCAATAAGGTGACTGCAGTCACCAAGTGCCACTGGGCGTGGATTTGTTCAGATTTGCAAATCGAACCTGGTGATATCCACTTTATTGACTGTTCTTTGCTTGTCCTTGAGTGGCAGCTTCCTGTATACGTATGTTTTCAATAGATCAAGGCCTTCTTGCAGTTAATCACGTACAATGTCCTCGTCTCGCAACACGGGGCCTACAACATTCCCTCAAACTCGCGTGCGTTTACGCGAGCTCTTGGAAACCATCTGCTTCGCACAAACGTTGCGTGTCAACACGGTCGTTTGAGACCTTGAAAGCCGAACAGAAGGTCACTGACATTTGGGATTAGCAAAGTCTTCTTTCTTGGGTTGTAAACCGCGGCCTTAGCCTCCAGGCGTGCAGGTTAGGAGGCGAGAGTGCATCTTCTGCCTGTTGAGAGTCGCATCGAGTTCCTATTAAATTAGGTTGGAGGCTGTCGCTATTAGGTTGTTGGGAAACGTCTTCGCTCTATACATCTAAGGCAAGTTGAGAGTGGATCTTCTGCCTGCGATCAGACTTCTACGACCGCGCTTGCTGTCCTCCACGCTGGCAGGGAAAGGGAAAGTCGTGTTGGTCGGCGAAGCAGTGGGTGAAGGAAATCAAGGGAAACTGGAATTGTTCCCGTAATGCACACATGCTTCTTCAAAGATCTTCAAAGATCAATGATTGGACATTATTGATGACATTTGATGATGCTCATCCTGCAGGACAAGCTTTCACTGTTGTACCAAGTGACAATATTCTATAAACCAATCTTCAGAGGTGTTGTTCACATCGATGCCGAACAGACTTGAACAAA